TTTTTTTTTTTTTTTTTTTTTTTTTTTGCAATATTTTTTACTCATAGGTTAGATTTGAATGAAATTTTTAGGAAAAAAAATAGAAACACTATATATATTAATAAAAATAATTATAATTTTAGTAATTTATTTCGAAAATATTTTTGAATTTTTAAAAATTTTGTTAATATTTTAAATTTTTTTAAAAAAATTAAAAAAAAAAAGATGGAAATAGCAGTAATAGATTAGGGAAGAAGAAACCCGCCGGCCAGCTTCGGAGTCGGGTTGAAACCGGATCCGAAACTCGTCCAGATGCACGCACTAGCCTGCTCACGGTTCTACCCAATTGCCTGCCCGTCTCTCGACCCGTCAACCCTCCAGCCCAACTCGCATGATTACCTAGAAGTTGCGGCCCAAACGAAGACGCGGCCCATTACCAGACGCCAGTCGCGACCCGTGTATCGACCCGATTTGCAGCTGCGCGTGCCGAGCCTCTCCTAGTACACAGCTTGCGTGCAGCTCAGTTGAGCCGATCCATCCATCGGTCGGCTCGCGTGGCTCTAGCGACTCGGCTTGGATGGCTTACCCGGCTCAAGTTGGACTTTTTGGAGGCAATCAAGATGAGTGGCTCATCCACTCTTTCACCCATTAAGCTAGAGAATTATTCAAGATCTTAGGTTGACTCCGATTTCAAGGATAGTTTCAAGCTAACACCAAGGATAAGATAGTAATTTTGGTCTAGGTCAATCAAGTAAGTGGCTCTATTGTTTGTTAGACGAACACGGTGATCATGGGTTTATAAGTGAGGAATACTAACTCCATTGGTGTGAGGCCTTTTGGGAAGCCCAAAGCAAAGCCATGAGAGCTTATGCTCAAAGTGGACAATATCATACCATTGTGGAGAGTCGTGTTCGTCTAACATGGTATCAGAGCCATGCCCTAAACTTAGCCATGCCAATAGATTGGCAAATCCTTAAATGTCGAACAAAGGACTCCAAAAGGAGTCAAGCCTCCTCGAAGGTACGAAGGCAGTGAAAAATGACTAAGACTCCAAAGGAGTCGAGCCTCGATTAAGGGGAGGCGTGCTTTGTTCGAGGGGAGGTGTTGGATGATGAAAGTCTCACATCGGCTAATTTAGGGAATGATCATGGGTTTATAAGTGAGGAATACTAACTCCATTGGTGTGAGGCCTTTTGGGAAGCCCAAAGCAAAGCCATGAGAGCTTATGCTCAAAGTGGACAATATCATACCATTGTGGAGAGTCGTGTTCGTCTAACATTGTTAACTTGGTTGGCCGAATTGTACGACACATGTCTCATGGCCCTTGTGCATGTCATGATCATAATTATTATGCTATGCTATGTTATATTATACGATGCTATGTCGTGTTATGCTATATTATGCTATAATGTAATTGTACTATGTCGTGGAATCATATTAAAGATATTGATAATCTATGATGCATAAACCTTTATACACCACATCATGTAAATTATGTTAAGAATAAAAGATAGGACAAGAATTATGTATACATGTTTCATAAGCTCGTTATTTTATTAATGAATAAATATTTGACTTGCATTACAAACCTATGCTATGATTTTAAGTTATGGGGTCCTCATGGGTCTAGCCTACCAACGCTTTAGCTCATTCTCACGAGTATTAGCCCATGGGCCTAGAGGGTACGCGTACAAGCCCGAGTAATGGATTCGTGTGTGTGCGTGAGCTATATATAGAAAAGTAGTATGGAAATAGATAACGGCAAGAAAACTAAAAAGCGACGAGGATTCATCGTTGTCCCTTGGAGTTCTCCTCTTCTCATTTTTTGAAGTCCTCTCAATCTCACTTTCTTGACGACATTATATAATCTTTTTTTGATAACCTCATTTCACTAATATCAAAATAGGTCGAGATTTTAAAATAACAGTATATCACATACCACGATACCTCACAATTTATTCTCAAACTTCTAGACTCCCAAAGATTCAACCCGTTTAGAAGAGAAACGAAAACATATTAGATTATTTCACGAGACAAGTTTCAAAATAGACCATTAAAAGACTTTGTAAAAATAATTGTGAATTATAATTATTTGAAATACTTTATTAAATATTGACAGAACAATTCATTTCTCAGCTCTATTGCGCGATTTGCGACGATGATTGATTTCATCCATTCTTGATTTTACATATCACAATCGTGTCCAATTTGTCTTAATTTTCAATCCATGAACACGAAGAAAAAGAGAACTATTGGATTTCGTCATAATTAATTTATGATCATACTATAAAATCTAGTGTATGTTACTTTTTTTTTTCTTTTTTAATAAAGGTTGTTCGAGTTGATTTATGTGGGTTTGACCAAGTTGTTGGTTATGATTTAAAATTATTTGGGTTGGGTTCGACCTAGTTCCCTTAGTGAACTTGGACTTGTTTGACTTTTGGCTCATTCTACTACCTAGCCCAACCTCAATTGGTCAAAGGTATCTTATAAAGTGATTCGAACTCGCTTGAAAATAGTATTTCTACTCTACAGGATTTCTTGAAATAAAAAAAAAAATAAAAAATAAAAAAAAGTAACCCTCATAAGTTACCTTAACTCAAGCACAAGGTTAAATTCAAACCATGGTTAGTTTCATGAAGTTGATTATAAATAAAGGGGGGGGTCTTCTTAGTGTCTTCTTCCCCTTCCTCAAAACCCTAAAATCCATAATTTTTTATTTTGGGTTTAAAAACTAAAAACTTCCCATCTTCGAACCCATCTTTTTCGAAGAACCCCATAAAAATACCCTTAAAAAAGGGGGGGAAATGGCCAAATGAGAGAGAAAAACAAGCCAAATCTAGTGAGAAGCTTTAAAGGATGTGGAGGGCGGTAGAGTAGTGGTAGTAGTAGTAGTAGTAGAAGTCGTAGTAGAAGAAGACACTGTTGCGTAGAAAACGCTCCCTTCCAAAACAATCATATTACTAACTGGTACGTTTTTTTCTCTCTTTTTCTCTTCCAATCACCATTAAAAATGGCGGTATATTCTTCATTTTCGTCTACATTTCTCTGTATTTCTTCATAATCTTTGAATTCTAGCCTCTCATGGTCAATGATGCATTCACCTTCGCTTTCTCTCTCTCTCTTTTGTGTAATGACATTTAAATTTATCTGCAAATATGACGCTATTGGCGGGATGGATGAATATTTAACTTTTTGATTTTGAAAACGCCTTAGATCAATTTCGTTTTCCCGCCAAAACTCTGATCGTCTTACCCAATCGCTGATTCTCAACGTGTGTTCTTTTTCATCCATTTGATTTGTTTATGGTCTTCGTAGCTTAGTGTGGTTTTGTTTTGTCTCGCGAAAATGGAACCAGGGTGTTTGCGTTTGATTTTTAGGGTTTGAGTTCCGATTGATGGCAGGATCTTGGATGATAGCTGATTGTTCTGAATTAGATTACGAAGGTGCTGCGAAGAAGATTGAACGAAGCGGGTATTTGTTAGATTTTGGATTCATTTTAATAGGTTGTGAACTTTGGGATGTTACGAGAATTGAAACAAGTCTGCTGAGTTCATTAAACTCAGTAAGAGATTCTCGATTAGTAGAAGGGAGCTGAGTTCATGAGTAGAGCTACCGATTAGGAATTGCTGTATGAAAAATCAGCAAAAGGAGTGGTAGTGTCTCGCAATGGTTGAGAATTGGGCTGAAACCAAAAGGAAACGGCAGTCATGTTGTCAGATGAGTTCATGAATTATGTTGCCTTTGATGAAAATTCAATTTCAGATTTTTCCAAGAGAATACTCGCTATGAAGAGTGATAAGATGAAGAGTGGGGATGTATTTCCTCGCAGAAGCAAGAAACTCAAGGATATTAATCATTGCAACAATGAAAATGAGGATATAAAAATTATTGATCTACGTTTAGTCAAGGAACCGAATTTTACCCCGGAGAGAAAGGAGGAACCATTGTTGGGATTGCTTAATTGGCTTAAAGGGATTGCAAGAAACCCGTGTGATCCTTCAGTATGTTCATTACCCGAAAAGTCGAAATGGAAATCATATGGAAATGAAGAGATTTGGAAACAAGTTTTGCTGGTTCGAGAGAAAATGTTTGTGAAACGACAAGTTGATTCAAGTAGCGAACAATCTCTGGTGCAGGTACTTGTTTATATTACGTCTTTGTCCATATATAGTTGTCGACCCACATGAAAGGTTAATAACAAAACTGTCTATATCTGTGCTCGTATGAAGTTCTGTGCGTTCTGATTGTTTCATGATAAAGTTGATTGTGGTAATTTTCAGGCTGCTTTAATCCTCTATTGTTCTTCATATCATTTTGATTAGTATATGTTTACATCTTAAACAATGTTCTGTTAGTTGTAAACTGCAAAGATCCTCATTGTGAAAGTCAATATGGAGCTAAGACTTAATCTTAAATGTATCATTGATAGTGTTATGAGCCTCTTTAGTTTTTAGGAACTTTTGCAGTGTCCTTGTGTGTATACAAAGCTGAGGAAATCCTTCTTATCAATTCTGAATAAGATTTATCTCCTTGTGAAGATACTTTGAGTATTAGCTGCTTAGAACTGTGGTTCCTTTATTAAGAAGAAGATGGAACTATTTAATATATTGATTTCATTTATCTTAGTTCTGTTGGCTTCATCGGCTATTTTCGATTTTTGATCTGCACCAAGGGTGTGTTTGGAGATGTCCTTAAAAGTATAAAAAATGCCTTGAGAACACTTTTTAGGTTGGTTGATGATAGCAATGTTATGATGATTGAGATCTCACTTCAGTTGGAGAGGGGAACAAATCATTCTTTGTAAGGGTTAGAAATCCTCTCCCCAATAGATCCTATGTTGGTTGGAGAGGGGAACGAAACATTTTTTTATAAGAGTGTGGGAACCTCTCTATAGTAGAGGCCTTTTTAAAACCTTGAAGGAAAAACCCAAAGATGATAATATTTGTCAACAGCGGTGGGCTTGAAATGTTTCAAATGGTATTAGAGCGGGACACTGAGCAGTGTGTTAGCGAAGATACTGGGTCTTGAAGGGGATAGATTGTGAGATCCCATGTCGGTTGAGAGGGAACAAAACATTCTTTATAAAGGTATGAAATTCTCTCCTTAGCAAACGGTTTAAACAGGGAGGGTGAGGAAGAGGAAGTGAGAAGTTGGGCATTATTAGAGCTTGAGAGTGATATCAAGGTGGGAGGGGTCTCAAGTACCTCCAGACACTTTTTAAAATGGTAAGATTTTCCGAAAAAGGAAATACATCATCTTGACCAAATAAAACATCAAACTATAACTATAAATGGCTAAATTAATAAAACTACCTTTAACTTTGCACTTTATCTTAAAAAAATATCCTTAAATTTTCAAAAGTTTCAATAATAACCTTAAATTTCAAAAAACATCTAAACAATACTCTTAAAACTTAAAAAAAAACATCTAAACAATACTCTTAAACTAAAAAAAAGTTCAAAAATACCTTTACCATTAATTTTTTATGGAAATTATTAATACTGGTTACAAAAATATCCTTAAAACTTCCAATAGTTTCTTCAAAACCCTTCAAACTTTTTTAAAAACTAAAAAATACTTTTATTGGTAGTATATAGACCGAAACCATTAATACCACATCACAATAATACTCATGAACTATCAAAGGTAACGTTAATACCCTTAAGCTGTATGTAGGCAGAAATTGTTTATTTGTCCCTCCGATTTTTTTCTTATTTCTCTCTTTTTTTTCTTTAATACTCTCTTAATTCCCTTATTTCATTCTTTAATATTTATAATCTTTCCAATTAGTCTTTTTTTTTTTTCTCTTCTTAAGTATTAAAACTTCAAATAGAAAGGAGCATTTCCAAACATACCTTTTATTAATTTCAATACATAATTTGTGTTCAAAGTTGTTTCTTTTCCAACTCTAAATTATGAAAATAAAAAATAAATAAATAAAAAGAGGCTATTTGGGGTGTAGATATACATACCCCAATAATAAAAAGAAAATTAATTTTTTTTTTAAAAATGGAAGGATATAAATGTTACTTTTGAATGTTTACTAATATCTTTGAATTGTGATAAGTTCTGTCTATGCAGTGGTAATGGTAGTTTTTTTCTAAAAATTTAAGGATATAAATGTTACTTTTGAATGTTTATGGGTATCTATGAATCGTGATACGTTCTGTCCATGCATTGGTTATGGTAAAGTATTTTTGAGACAAAATACAAAATTTTATGGGTATTTTTATTAATTTAGCCTTTAGATATGGAACTCTATGTACTTGTTTACCAAAAATCATAAATTGGTGATTAAATCATTATATTATTTCTATTTTGGTTTTTAAACTCAGAAATTTCTGTTTTTATCCTTGTTAATTTTGGCAGTGTATTTAAGTTAAGTCTCAGGTGATATTTGTAGGCATAATACTAAATTTGATAGATACACAATACATACCTTTTGTGTCATGTAGGAGTTGTATTGCATACATCATAGAAATTAAGATATTTGAATTAATTTGATTACTTTTCTGTTCACCTCATCCTCCCTATTTGCAGAGAAATCAGAGGATGCATCCTTGTATGTACGACAACGATACGGTTCCGATTTACAATCTTAGGAAGAGATTAAGCTTTGAGAAGAAGGATCTTTCTCAAGAACCTGTCTCTAAAACAAGTGATTCCTCACCTACAGATTCATCAGATGATTACAAGCCCGTTCCTCTGGGGTCAGATTACCAAACTCAAGTACCAGAATGGAATGGCGTGATATCCGAAAGTGATTTAAAGTGGTTGGGAACTCAAGATTGGCCCTTGAAGAAAGTAAGGAATCGATATCTAGTTGAACGGGATCCCATTGGGAGAGGAAGGCGAGATCCTTGTGGGTGCTTCGACGCCAACTCGGTTGGTTGTGTCAAATTTCATGTTACTGAGAAAAGACACAAAGTGAAGCTGGAGTTGGGCGATGCGTTCCTCCAATGGAGATTTGATAAGATGGGGGAAGATGTTACGTTTTCATGGACTGCTGATGATGAGAAAAAGTTTGAGGACATCGTGACTTCGAACCCTCCGTCCCTCGGGATATCTTTTTGGGATGAGATCATTGAGTCATTTCCTTCTAGGAGCAAGGCGGATCTTGTTTGCTACTACTATAATGTCTTTCTTTTACGTCGTAGAGGACACCAAAATCGGGTTACACCAAATGAAATCGATAGTGATGAAGAGTCGGAATCTGGAATTGTAACCAATGGACTTCTAAACCAAGTGCATAATTCATCCGACTCCATTTTCTACTCTCCCAAGAAGCCACGGTAAGCTTGAGACATCGCTCAAAAATGATTTTTTGACGAGTACCGATGTTGATTCTGATTTGGAAATATGCATTTTTTGATAAATAATTTTAGTCGAGTGGGGAAGGGAAATTTTTTTGTGACCTTACATGGAAAGGTGCAGTTGTAGCCTGTGAAAAATGGTAGCTAAGGGGACGGGGGACGAGGACGTCGTGATTTACCGAGTCATTGTTACGAAAACAAGCTGAATTTTGAGGCTCGAGCAATTTTGATTTTGGGTTATGCTGCTCCATTTCGATCAAATTTAAGGGTTGATGAATTGTTTTGCCCGCTTTTGCCTACTAGAAATGAGAAGGATATTGGTCACAAGGCTCTCTTAAGCGAGACAAATAGATTGAAGAGATGTTATTTTGTTCGATCCAAAAGTTTCATCCATGTATATTTGTTTAGTCACGTTGACATGAAAAAAGCGTACCATGGTCATGGTTGGTCATGGTTAAAATTAAGCTTTGAATAGTTAATAGTTCATAATAGCTCTGATTTGTCAATTATAGTTCATAATAACTCTGATTTGTCAATTGATCTTTGTCTTTGCCATCCTCGTTTCAAAATTCTTTGTTGAAAATTTGGTGGTGTGCTCTGTCTTTGCCCTCCCGTATTAGAGTTATCTCGGTTGCATTTTGTTTAGGTGTCAACATTTTATTTAGGTAGAAGGTGATAAATTGATAAATTAATTCGGAGTTGATCTATTAGTCTAAATAGTTATTCTTAAGGTTCTTATTGCCGAGATCAAACCATTAGTGTTTGGTTAAGTAAATTCTATAAAAGTAAACTAGAATTTAATTAAAATAGGAAAATAAGATACGACTAAAAACTAATCTTTAAATTTTAAATAATATGATACTAAATAAAAATTGAAAATTTAAAAATTAAATAAACACATCTCAATAAAAATGGATTTTTTTTTTTTTTTTTAAGTGATGGTAAATATTCTTACAATATTATAAAATTTTAAGCAATACAAAATCAACTAAACATTCATGGAACATAAGATTGGATAAAATTTTATTCTTCACACCGGAAACGAGTGGATTCAGCTTCAGCTGTATCTCGAGCTTTAGTCAACTGAGACGGGTTGCATGTTCTCAGCTTCTTTCCTCAGTTCTTGGAACAGCACAGATGACAAATATCTCTCCCCAAAACTTGGATGAATTGTCTGAAAACGCACCCAAATTAACAATTTTTTCCAACTCTTTTGTCGACCTCGATTCGATCATCTTTACAGAAACACTTTAGAGATTGTTTAAGAAAGTACAACTTTTCTTACCACAATAAGTTTGCCTTTGTTTTCGGGTAATCTCGCAAGCCTGAGCGCAGCGACCGTATTGGCCCCGGACGATATCCCGACCTGAACAAACAACAAAAATGAAGCTCAAATCTTAAACCAAAAGGGAGAGGAAGATGATTCTGTAAGATAAAAGGTAAAAAAAGGTTGGTGTTTGTTCTTTTACCATTAGTCCTTCCTTCACAGCCAGTTCCCTAGCCATATTTACAGCATCTTCACTGCTTACCTGGCAAGTAAATTTGTTTGAGAATATGTAAATTTGTAATCTAATCTTTAGGAGGTAAAAAAATATGTGAAGGTAAAAACTTACTTCAAGAACTTTATCCATTACATCCATATCCAATATATCTGGCTTGAATCCAACCCCATTCCCTGTAATATGATGAGGACCTAATCCAATTCACAACACCAGGCCCCATTAGTTTTCTGTAACCACTGAGGTAGCAATCAAAGAAGATTGATGGGAGCTATCAAGAATCTGCTATTAACCTATCACAAAAGTTTTAGAACATGCACGCGTTGAGAATCCCATCTTAGAAAAAATGGAGAGACTTTACAATTTGTAACCGTCCAAGCCCACCGCTAGTAGATATTGTCCTCTTTGGGCTTTCCATTTGGCTTCCCCTCAAGGTTTTAAAACCAATATGGGATCTCACAATTCTCCAACCAATATGGGATCTCACAATCCACCCCCCTTGGGGCCTAGCGTCCTCATTGGCACACCACCCAGTGTCTAGATCTGATGCGATTTGTAACAGCCAAAACCCACTGTTAGTAGATATTGTCCTCTTTGAGCTTTCTCTTTAGGACTTCCCCTCGAGGTTTTAAAATACGTCTGCAAGGGATAGGTTTCCACATCCTTATAAGAAATGTTTCGTTCTCCACTCCAACCAATGTGGGATCTCACAATCCATCCTCCTTGGGGTCCAGTGTCCTCGTCGCCACACTACCCAGTAATTTGAGTTTTTCCTTATGGGCTTCCCCTCAAAGTTTTAAAACGTGTCTGCTAGAGAGAGGTTTCCACACCCCTTATAAGGAATGTTTCGTTCTCTTCTCCAACCAAGGTGAGATCACATCTCATTTTGTTATGAGTTTTTAGTCAAGATATTTCTTCACAAACAAGTTTGATATATTTCACTCTCAAATATCTTATTTTTAACCTATTTCATGCCCGATACATTATCCAAAACTAAAACATCCAAGCAGGGCATTCTAATCATACCTGGTTTACCACCATTCAGTACATTACTTTCAGCAGGCTCCACTCCATAAATCTTCAGTAAAGAGACAGAATATGAACCATTGGTCTAATCCATGTTCTAACGAAGCAAAAGTTCATAACATAATCACAAACCTTAACATTGGGATTTCGAGATTTCAGGTACTGTCCCACTCCAGAGACAGTCCCTCCACTGCCTATTCCCATTACAAAAATGTCAACTTGTCCATTTGTGTCCTCCCATATCTCAGGGCCAGTCGTATCAAAATGCACCTGTTTGATCATTTTTTTTAAAAAAAACCATCTTCAGGGCAATCATATATCTACCAACGACATCTTTCGATCGAGCGAGGTATCTAGTTTTTGAAGAACTGCATAGAAATTAACTAAGAAAAATGGATTTTAATTAGGAACCTGAGTATTGGCAGGGTTTGAGAACTGTTGGAGCATGAAGCCATCAGGTGTTGATTCCAAAAGATCATAAGCTTTTTTGACAGTACCTCCCATGCCTTTAGTAGGGTCAGTGACAATCAACTCAGCTCCAAATGCTCTCATTGTAACTCTTCTTTCCAAGCTTGTATAAGAAGGCATGGTCAGAACCATTTTGTAGCCTTTCATGGTAGCCATAAAGGCCATACTAATTCCCATGTTTCCCGACGTTGGCTCGATCAAAGTCGTCTACACATCGTAAACCCGAGTTTCAAAAGAGCAGAAAAGAAGATTTTGTCAAAAGTGTTCCAAGCAGCCTAAGAGTTGATCAAGCTGACCTTTCCAGGAGTAATCAAACCTTTCTTTTCGGCATCGGCGATCATCGCGAAAGCCGGTCTAATGATGATGAAAGAAAACATAACAGATTACAAAATGAATGAGAACAGAAAGAATTGTAAGAAGAGAGTGGGAGTACCTGTCTTTGATGCTGGAAGTAGGCTGCATCATTTCTTGCTTCACAGCTACATAACCTCCACACCCCTCAGTGACTTTGTTAAGATATACAATTGGAGTTTTCCCAATCAGCTGAAAATAATATAAACATTAATCTTTTAATTTTTTTAAAAAAATTACTCTTTTCCTTTCTCCAACTTCCTTGTATCAATATTATTTATTAATTTATGGGCATAAATTAATTAAACATGAAGCATATAATAGTGGGATTACGTAGAAAATATAATACATTTCGAAATCAATTGACTTCATTTTATTTTTAGACAAATCCAACAAATTTTCAAAAAATAAATAATATGTTGTGTTATTAAACATATATTTTCTTATTTGATTTTGGTTAAATTTAATTTATGTATTTTAAAATATTTAATTTAATTTTTAAAAACAATATCCCTATAAACACTCACCAGAAACCAGAAGCCAACAATTAAAATATTAAGAATTAAATAAAATAAAATTTTCTCTAGTGATTCGTGTCCTCATCATAAAAAATAAATTCCTTACTTTTTCCCTTCCCAAAAAAAATAAATAAAAATAAATAAACCCTTTTGGCAACTAATTTCAAGTTTTATTATTATTATTATTATTATTATTATTAGGTCTTTGTATTTTCCAATTAAAAGGTATTTTTGGATTTTTAAATGTAATTTCCAAAATATTTTATTTTATTTTTCAAAAATAATTATTTTAGTCTCTAGCTTCCTATATATATGCTAAATTAATTATAAATATTTTCTTAATTTTATATTTTATTTAAAAAATAATTTTGGAGTTTCAAAATTTTAATAATACCCTTAAATTTAAAATATCATTAAACTTTTAAAAATAACTAAAAAATATCTTGGAATACTCTATTTTTAAACAAAGTATTTAAATTAATTTAGCTTATTATTATGTTTTATAGAATCCCTTTTAAACTATAGTTAATAAGACTCTTTTTTATAATTATCCAATTTCAATGACTATTTTATTTTTTTTATGTATTTTAAAAAAATAAAAATAAAATAAATAATTATACAAAACAACGTGGGGGGGAAAAATGCTGTACACGAATTTGTTACCCCGCTCTTTCTGAGCAACCCTAAAAATTTCACAGAAATTATTTTATTTTCTTAAGAAAATTATTTTTTCATCCAAATCTTCTCATTCCTGATTGCTATCAGAAAAATCCAAAACTGAAGAACGAAGAAATGGAGAAAGCATAATCGAAGTTCATCGGAAGCGTATAGAAAGACAAGAATCGGAATCGGAAGGGATCGAGAAACTCACATGAGCAGCATCTCGTCTGATGCTTGTTCCAGGAAGATCCTTCGGCAGATCTCTGAGTCTCTGAGCAAAAGAAGAAGAATCTTGAACCGTTTGAGTGGAGAATAGTTTCCTCATCGACGAACAAGCGCCGGATGAAATCGCCGCCCTCTGCTTCATCAAACTCCTCGACGCGGCACTCGCCATTGATGTGGATTACTGGAATCTGCTTCTTTGAGAAATTGGAAGAAATAGAGACCTAGAGAGATGGAAAATTACAGAGAGGATATGAAATTAGAGGAAGAATTTGGGAGTGATGGTCGCCAATGGCTTCTCCCGCCTTTTGTACTTGATATCCTTCCTTTGGCTCTCATTTGCCACCTCTGCATTACCTTATTTATTTATTATTATTCTACTCGTATTTGAAAAGTTCGAAATACCATTTTTTTTTAACATTAAAATGGTACTTTTTATTTATACAATTATTTATAAAACTAAAAAATAGAGCCGCCGATCCAGTAGCCCAAGTTGCAACAAGTGCTCGG